CACAGGCCATGACCCAGTCTGGCCTAATAGTTAATCCAGCCCTGCATGTAACGCAAATGTGGGTTGGTACCACCAAGAAGTCCTCTACGAAGTCGAATTTCTCCCTATACTTGATCCAGGAGTTTCTTTGTCTTCGGGATCGGGTTCAAAATCACAAGGCTACGGAGTTGAACATTGGTTGTCGGAAACCCAAAATTGGGTCGGCTATTCAACTACTGCTACGAAATAAAATATAATGACTGTTTTTGTAATGAACAAATATTTATTTTTGTAGCACTATTCGGGTGTGACGTATGGGTGTGGCAGAAGTCAAATTCTTGGCCAAAGACGGTCCCACTGGAAAACAAGAACAATCACACCCCTCTGAAAGAGGCATACTTCAACAACAACAGTAGCATTATTTATTATCTTACATTTTCATATAGTGAATCAGAATGGAAAGTTTTGTATCGAAATATCAAAACTCTATCATAGTGTCCTCACACGTGATCGTCAGAAAAATATTAATAGAGTTCAGCAAGATTCACCACTATTCTAAAAAGTAGCTGTCGCTAGAAAATAAATATCAAAAAATAAATGTTGGTTCATTCTGTGTTTTGAAAAATCATGCAATGATCTTAACGAATTCACACATGAGTTAGGATAGTCTCTTTATATATTTTTTCTTTTAACCTATTATACATCAATGTTTGCATGAATTACAATTAAAGTACGTGAGACTTGTAATAACTATGTTTATAGCCTCGCCATTTATTTCCATTGCCTTTGTTTTGAATAGTCTTACACATATATTTAATCTAACTGCATATAAGTGACATTATGAGGTAAATATAATTACAGTTATTAGGTTATATCATTGGAGTACAGTTTTCAATATAGGTGTGCATTCTAACATACCATACCGAGTCATATTTACATTCAAAAATTCCACTTAATAAATGCTTCACGTGATAACCAACTCTTATAACTAAGCCAGGAAAGCGGTAACTAAGTCAGTTGCCACATTTTTTTTAAAAATTTCAAACTCATTAAAAAAACTTTACGAAAGACTTTAAAGAACGTTGGAAAAACACAGTTTGGTATGATAAATGTTTTAATAAGACACTATATGAAATATTTTAATCAAAAATATTTAAAAACATGTACATTCATACCAGAATGAACAGGTTTTACCAAATTTCAACAAAGTTTTAACAAGTTTCAATGAGCGAATAATCTAATGCAAAGCTCAAAATTTCCACTCGCCAAAGTAGCCAAACATTTTGTGCCGGCAAGTAAGCTTGCCTTATAAAATATTGTGTTTCTACTACATTTTTCCTGAAGTTGCGACTTTTCAGCTCATAATTTTTTTTTAAAAATGAAAAGCTCTAGACTTTAGGAAGAAAGAGAACTAAATATGCAAAGATGCGCGTTACAGAAAGACTATATCAACATTGTTAAGATTTTTTTTTTGACGCTTTTGACTTTTCAAAGAAAAATAAATTATTGAATTTGAGGTAAAAGAAATTCTCAGTGTATTCAAATCTGATTTCATGGACAAGTGTTTGGCAAAATTCCCTTCACTGTATAGGTGCTGTATAGAACTGATCTGTGCTATTCTTTCTGTGAGAGTCATAATAGACTCTTTTGGAGAAGACGCTTTCTATCCTCCACTCCAACAGAGTTTCATGCTTAAGTGACGAGAGGCATACAAATATATGAAGTATGGGGAACATTTCTGAATATTTCCTTTTGTATATTAATACTATGTGGATACCACTGGAATTATTTTAAAAAATTAATAAATATCAGGGTATTTAGCGATAAGGACACTTTAGTTTTCCATTTTATACTTTCTTTTTGTGGTTTCAGTCACCAAAGAGTCCTTTATACTACATGTGTTAACATTTTGAAACTTGTTTATACCTCTCTCGAAAATAGTGGCAAACTAAACTTATAGTCTGGCTAGTACTAAAATTCCATTCTTTGATCTAATGAATAATATTTTTTTTTGCATGGCGTTACTTTTAGCTGCATTAAAAATAAGATAAATATTTTAAATCATACATATTACGGACAGAATACGGCCTACTGAGTATTCATGAAAAATGAATGAAACTGAAACGGACGGAACTCCCTAACGAATCCTTCTTTAGAATTAACCGAATTAATCTGTCCATTCACGGAAAAGAAATGTTCCATTTCCCCTCATAAATTGACCTGAATATCATTCAAATGGAAAAGTTAGAACTCTCTCTCTAACTAATTAGAATTTAAAAAAAAGATGATCTTCCTTCCTTGATAGACACAGTAAACGTAATCGTTTGGTTTCACTTAAATTAATATACTTTTATAGACGAATCTAATTAATAATATTTATTGAATATTCTTCTCAACTTCTCATTTTGTATACAGTTTGGAACGCATTTTATTAAGGAAATCCATTTTCAGCCAGTAGAAGTGGCCAAACAGTAGCAATTTAAAAACAAAAAATAATGAAAATAATTTTCAACTGTGTATAGCATTTACAATGTCACATACGTTTTGAAGGATTTTGGGTCATATAACCAACAATCTCTTCGCCAACAAAGGTCGTAGCAACGTGAACGAACAGGGGACACGTTCTCTCCTCTCCCTAACAAAAATTTTTTAAAACTTCAGAAAGATTTTAAAGTCACTCCTTTCTTTTAATCCCCGAAAAAAAATTTTTTTTTCATTTAAACAAAGATTAAATATTTTAGATAGTTTATTTGTAACCAAATAATTCTATGATAATCAAATTGATTTAAGAGGTATCTTAAAGCCCATTTAATGATTGTTTTCATAAACAATTTAGTTACAGTTTGAACCGCGTGATTTCAATAATTTGCATATTTTACGTATTGTTGTTAGTTTATAATTGAAGATGGTAATTGTTTAGTTCAGTTTATGTACTAGATAGAATATTTTATTATTATCAACATAGTCGAATAGATTTTAAAAAACTTTATCTTACTGTCATATATTTTTAAGACCTAGTTCCTAATTTTTTATTTTTTTATAACACTGAACACCTTGTAGCATATTTTTATTGCAAAATTAATAGTCTGATTTGTTTCACGCATAAATTTCTACGTAAAATTTAGGATAAATTAACACTAAACGTAAGTAGTATTTATTCGCAGTATCCGATGTATCCAAACTCGCAATAGGAACGTCGGACCAACCTTGTGTGACCTTGAATACATCGTACAAACTAGACTCACTTTAAAATTTAAATTTAAGGAGTACGGTACATTATGAAGAACTCAAAAAATCATCAATTGGATTATTGGGCATAAATTCAATTTCAACAATGCCAATTCCGACAATTTTCGTCCTCTTTTTTTCCTACATCCCATCGTAATTTCAAATTTTTAAATCTTATGTTTCTGCACTATAAAACAAAGCACAACGAAAAGCAAAAAAAGTAAGAAAAATCAATAAGAAAGTAATTAAAATTGCAATAACCTTCGAGCAAATTGAAATTTTAAAACAAATCTCGTTCTAAGTTCATAAACAAATGTGGTCCTTTCAGCTTTTTAAATTTAAACACCGTATTATTCTTTCTGTGGTCTGTAGAGTGGCTCACATAATATATTTTTACTACAAATTTTATAGTTAATAATTCTCAAATCAATTATAGAATGTCACTGACCGTTTTTCTGCACACCTTCGTATTGTTATGCGTCTAAATCTAATAGTTTTTGGGTAGCAAAATAAAATGTAATATATAGTTGAACACCTGAAACAGGGGTTGTGAGGGTGCTTATAATCTTTAAATATAAAGAGATGGTTCGTTTACTTGCAATAACCCATTTATATCTGTTGCTATTCATGCAGTTGGAGTCAATATAGATATAAGTTTACTGTTCTATAATCAATATAAAAATCAATATTAGCGTGAACTTTTTGTGGTTGCGTAGCATTGCATATTTTTTCCGACCTGTAGCTTACGAATACTCATAGGTTAGTGTGGAGGTGTGCAAAGGAGTGTGTTTACGAAAATTTGGTACTAATAGCGGAATTTTAAAAGACTATATATAAATAATAATAACTTATATGTATCACTATAAGAAAATTGCGTGTGCAGCCCAAATTAGGGATCAGATAAAGTATTTTCCAACGCACTATTTTCAAACCATTAGAAAGATATTTTCTTTTAGAACAATTGTTTTTTCAAGTCATACAAATTTTTCTAAATTTTATTATTTAAACTTTAAATAAAATAATTTTGAGTCAATTTCTGAAAAAAATGTTCTATAAATCAAAAATAAAATAAAAATTAAAGTGCTTAATTTTAAACTCAGAAAATCTCTACAGTGTTGTAAACTTAATAATTATTTCGTCAAGTCTCAGCAACATTTAATTTTTGAGAAAGGTAATTAAGGGGCATAATCATGATTGCTACAAAATAATGCTCATTCATTAACTGCAGAAAAATTTTAAAAGTTTTGCAGGAAAAAAACGTGAACAATGAATGAAAAAAATTTGTGAGAAAATTGAATCGATCATGTCAACAAAATATTCAAGTTGGTATTTCAATCTAATTTTTCTTTAAAAAAACTTTTTTTTATTGCAAAAGCACTTGACTTTACATCATTGGCCCCCATGCATCAAAGATGCATGAGATTGGAGCATATAAAACAAAAACTGAACCATTGAACAATACAAGAACAATATAATAACAAGAACAATAAATACTTGCAAAACGTGAACCACTTAAACATGAACGAGAATCAGTCGCTGGATACCAATTGCATCAACTCCCTAGCTCGCCAATATCAACTGAATAAATCTTCTTCATTTAATGAAAAACAACTGAGCAAATGATATTTGTCCATCTCAAAGTTCTGGTTGCACAAAGTGCACATAGGACTGCCAAATATACCAATTCTGTATAGATGTTTAGCAAGGCAGTCATGTCCAGGTTCCAGATGGAGCGCCGCCACTGCAGTGGATCTAGGGGAGTTTGGAATTTTATTAATTGAATACCTCCATTTCTAATTCTTGATTTCTTCTACTAAATTAGCATCATAGCTTTTCTTCACAATATTTTTTATAATTCCTTGAATTGATGAAAATGATACTTTGGCATTACCTGCCTGCAAAATCTCTGTTCCCTTCCTTGCTAATGTATCAGCCCATTCGTTACCATTTATTCCTACATGAGATGGAATCCACTGCAGAACAACAGTCCTTCCCTCAGAAGCTAGGAGATTAATATTTCTTCTGCAGGAGTCAATAATATTTGACTCTGCAACATTATGTGCAGCAATAGCCTGGATGGCTGATAGAGAGCCTGAAAAAATAACTATGTTGTCAATCTGAACTGATCTAACCCTGATTTGTTCTGTTGAAATTCTAATTGCCTCCAGTTTTCCATCGAAATTGGTCCGCAATGGACCAAGGGTGGCATAGAACGCAAAGAGTTCTGAATACACACCAACACCAACGTTGTCAAGCATTTTCGATCCGTCTGTATAGATGTGAATCCAATTACTTTTTGGATACCTGCTATAAATTGCCTGTAGAGCAGCTACTTTTAGTTCACAATCGAGTGCTGAGGATTTTGTCGTAGCAGTCATCAAATCACATTCCTTTCTAATAGATCCCATGTGAATAGGAAATGCTGGTTTCAACAGTTCCTCTGTGGGAACATTCTGAAGGGAACAGTCAGTTTTCAGTTTAAGAACTTTCTGCAAAATTCCATCCTGAGTTTTTAATCTCCTAGGTTTAGTGATATCATAATTTCTCCATAAATCAGTTGATGGCAATCTAATCAATTTTTCATATAGTATTAAAACCTTTTCCTGGATAACTATTTCTATTGGTTTGTTGTCTGTTAAGGCCCGCATTGCATTTATTGGAGTAGTCTTTACAGCTCCAGTGACTAGTCTCAGGGCTTCATTTTGAAACACCTCTAGTTTAGAAATATATGTACTACTGCATGCAATCAAGGCCTGCACGACAATATCCTATTAATGGCTTAATGTATAAATTATGAGTTTTATTTAAAGTCACTCTTCCACAACCCCATTTTACTCCTGCGAGCCTTTTAACTATTGTTAGCCTTTTTCTCTTAAAAAAAACTAAAGACTACATTTTGAATACGTTGCCCTAAAACAGAATGTATACATTCATCACATTATTCTTAAAACACAAGAGTGTTTGATTATAATCCTATTAATATATGGGACAATTTTATTCCTTGAATAAATGATATTTTCATATTTTTTTCTGCTTCTTTACAAAGAAAAAATGTAATCGGTTTAACCATTATTGGTCGGAACATTTTAATTACATGCAAAATTCATAAAGGAGGGAACGAAACTTGATTCAAGTAACTTATAGGAGAGTTTTATAGCATGTGTTATTATTTGAGTCTAGTGGATTTTGTTTCACGACTTGCATATGATAAGTAATGCGAAACAAAATGCTAAAATTTATAAGTTTTATCCAGTAATGAGAATTAATTAATTAAAGTTTAAATGTGAGTAGAATACTGATTTTCATTGTTATAACAATTCGTAGGATGCTAAAAACTTTTTCAAACGGCAGAACAAAGAGATAAGAAAAGATGGCTACATGAATGTGATGTACCACCTTGTGAATTGCAACATACTTTTCATCAACATTAAATTTAATCTTCTTTATGAATATATATGACTCCTTGAGAAAGTATACTTCCCTCCCATACAAAATTAAATGTAGGCATTAAAATATACACAGTCCAGTCACATTAATGTGACCACCACCTACTTTCGATGTTAACGTGAAATAACCAATCACAGAGTGCAGGTGGCAGCACATTACAGTGTAGTGCATATATTGGATGTCCTAAGGCATCGGAAAGCATTTCAGTCGTTGGCGCAATGCAGAAACGTAGCGATTTATCCGACGTCCAAAAGGGCTTGATTATTGGCTTTCGGGCCAAGAGTGGAAGCATTTCGGAAACGGCTAATTTTGTGAGCTGTTCGCGTGCCGCCATGATAAAAGTATACCGTGCATGGCAAAATCGCACTATCCAAAATAAGCGGCGTGGCACATGTGGTGCACCACGGGCTATAGATGACAGAAGCGAACGAAAGCTACGGAGATGCGTTCAGGCGAATAGACGTGCAACTGTTGAGCAACTGACCTCCCGGATGAACCAAGGGGCTACCAAGAGTGTATCCTCAACAACTGTTCAGCGAACGTTGCTGTGCATGGGCCTCCGCAGCAGACGCATGGTAAATGCACCTATGCTGACTGCTGTTCATCGGCGATGAAGGCTGGAATTTGCACGCCAGTACCGCAGCTGGACGTCCACAGAGCGTTATACATCGCCCTTTCCAGGGCGATGTATAACAGGTGAGTACTTCTGATTTTAATTTAAAAAAGAAGGGAGGCGCTATAAAATTGGGCAGCGGACGGTGTCCAGTTGGCCGAATCGTTATTTAAAAGTAGGGGGGATATGTAGCATTTAACCATTATTGGTCGGAACATTTTAATTACATTCACATAATGTATTTTTNAGCAGACGCATGGTAAATGCACCTATGCTGACTGCTGTTCATCGGCGACGAAGGCTGGAATTTGCACGCCAGTGCCGCAGCTGGACGTCCACAGAGCGGTGACAGGTTGCTTTTTCTGATGAATCACGTTTTAAGCTCCATCGGACAGATGGACGTTGGCGTATACGGCGTTAAACGTCTGAAAGCAAACACCCTGCAACAATTGCCGGAAGTATCCAGGCTGGAGGAGGGACCATTATGGTTTGGGGAATGTTTCCCCGGCATTCACTGGGTGCACTCATCATTGTGGAAGACACGATGGATAAGCAGAAGTACGCATCTGCCCTTGCGGACCATGTCTACCCCTACATGCGAATGAATTTTCCTCAGAATAATGGCATCTACCAGCAGAACAATGCGAGGTGTTATACAGCTCGCAGTGTATGTGCGTGGTTCGAAGAGCACCAGGATGAGTCTACCGTACTCCCCTGGCCAGCAAACTCGCCGGATTTAAATCCAATCGAGAATCTGTGAGACACCCTCCATCGAATTGTTCGCGCCATAGATTCTCAACCGCGTAATCTAGCGCAGCTGGTCACGGCACTAGAGTCAGCATGGCTCAACATCCCAGTCAACACCTTCAGTAGCCTAATAGACTCTCCTCCTGAACGTCTCGCAGCGGTCCGCTCTGCAAAAGGTGGTTATTTTGGCTTTTGACAGGCGGTCACATTAATGTGACTGGACTGTGTATTTTCTCAAATGCTATCGTTTAATTGCTAATAAAACTGAGAAAATTTCAAGAGAGAAATAAATGGCTAACGAAAGGAGGTTTATCTACTTTGTATCAAATATTGCACACTTAAATCATATTCGTGCAATCGAAATAACATTTTTGACCAGTAAACTTCTCTCTGCCCCGAGTGTGTGTGGAAAGGGATATTACTAACGATTTGTTGTGTTCTTTAATTACATAACGAGATTTGTCGTCTTTGTTACGTTGAATAATAGATTATCTTCACACAATTTTCACTTCTTGGAACAAACTTTAAAAGTAATTAGTATATTGGAAATTTCGTTCTAATTTATACCAATTGCTAAAAGTAAGAATTTCTAATGTTTCTTATCATTATGAGATGATTTGTTTCAATCAGGTGAGAGGGACACCGCCCTTTCATTCACCCGATTATTTCGTGACTGAAGATTGTAATCACTTTTGGTTGGAAGGACACTTTTCGAATTCACCCGAGTTCTCCCTCTTTCCAGAAAAAGATAATACGTTAAATATTTAAAAGGAAGAAAATTTAATGAAATGATCCTCTCAAAGTCAGTCTTCTTCTGATGTTGCAATTAAAAAAAAACGAGCTGGGAAATACCTAAAACAAAAGTAGGAAACGCTGGGACGTTTAAATGGAGTCATATTATAACATAACAGTTGTAGAAATAAATTTAAAGAAATGTAAAATATTGAAATTGTACTAAACCATAAAGAGCACGCACATTCATCTCATCACAAGAAGATTCCTTGGAGAGTGTTAGGAATAGTGCAAATATTCTGATTTGCATATCACTTTAATGAACGTTTCAGATGAGCTAAATAGATATGGTTTCGTATTTTATAAGCTTTTTCAATAGTTCAATCAAAAATTTACTTAAAAGCATTCAAATGTGATTCCTTAAATATGTTATAAGCTACAATTAAAATAATTGTCACTCTATTCTTTGGAGTAATCTTTTTTTCTGCATATTTATTATATATTTTTGCGAAAATAATTTTTACAAAATCAAAAATTTCCTCTTCTTTTCTTAATTTAAGGAATCTAACTTTTAACCCGCCAGAGTCAAAGTCTGAGTTTAAAGAAGACTTTAAACTTTTATTTAGCTGGTAAGCAACAGAAGAATCACACGTTGTTTTCGTCATTCAGCTATTTGCAAGTAAAATCATGTGTGATCGGCTGAAATTGCGTTTCTCTTTTTTAACAAGTTTTCTCGGTTGTGCCTTCTGTCGAAATCACAGATAGAAAAAAGTTGAGTTCATTGTGTGCTTCGATTAATATAAAAGGTAGTTTCCCTATTATATACTTATACTTTCTATTTTATATGTGTTTTTTTTTCATTAAGTAGTTTTACAGCATGGCTACTAAGGGGGATTTGAGCCATTGTTCGAAATCAATGAAGTCGGGAGAAAAATCTGGAAGAGTCACAACATTAATAAAAAAAAACTTAATCAAATACAAAAAAAACAAGAAACACAAGAAGCTAATTTCCGTCTGATAGTTCAGTTTACTGATGCAAATTTAATCCAGACAATAATTTCAGTTCAAATTTTTCAATGAATTTATTAAACTAGCTGAATACCCCCTTCTCCTTACAGGATGAATAAAAAAAATAATTAATTAGTTAAAAAAAACATTACAAAATCATGCACAAAACTGAAAAGCATATTCTTAGATAATTGCGAGTTTAGCAAAAGAATCAGGTAAGTGACATTTTTAAGGCTATTTATGAATCAGTGAAAATGACAAAGTAATTACATCAATATAGATATGTTTTGTGTAAGAGAAATGTTTCCGCTTTCACTTTTATTTTAACATAATTAATGCACATAAGCTTCTATTATGATAACAGGATTAAGAATTAGACTATGATAAATAAAATACAACAAAGAATTGTTAGCCCTGCTTTCTAATAAATCGATAATAGAATAGTTCAGAGATCACTTTCTTTCTTCTTAGCTGATTATAGCCTCTCTGAAAATGTCACTTGTCTGGTTCTTCCACTAAACTCTTCAATTAATAAAGCTGAAATAACTTCATATTTTTATTTTTTATTATTTGTCGCCCTTCCCGATGAGTTTACGCTATTATATTTCATTCTATAACCGTCGTTGAACAGCCAACCCAATTTTAGGTTCACGACTACTAATGTTCAACTCCTCAATCTTCTAATTTTGAACCCAAATTTAAAGACAAGGGAACTCCTGGATTAATTATTAGGATAAATTTACTTTTGTGAAGGACTTTTTGATGGAACTAACAAGCATTTGAGTTACATGGAGAGGAGAACCACGAAAAATTTCCACGGTTAGCCTTACGTGCAAATCGACTTTAAGCCATGATCCGTCAACCATTGAGGGTAATTAAAGTCAGCACTGTGGTAGGCGCAAGCCGAGATCGTAATTTATTTCTACCAGCCATCGCTGGGAATCGAACCCGGGCACCTCATTGGGAGGCGTTCTCTATCCCCTGAGCCACCATGGATCATGTTATTATATTAAGCAGAATAAGGTTTTTGTAGCTCATCCCATTAGAATAGAGATTAACTGTATTTTGCATCACTTGGCCTGATGATACTGCTCACGGCCG